CTTGTTTGTAGCGTTGAATCGCTCCAAGATGTCGTTCCAAAAGGTTGCAAACAAAGTGGTTTCGAGACTACTCATCTTCTGTAGAAGGTGCGTTGCTTCGTTCCTCACAATGTCTTTTTGCTCTATATCAGAAGATATGCTGGTTAGAGCTTCTTCGATTTCCGAATAGCCCTCGACTATGGCTTTCGTAGCTTCAGCTCGACAAGACCAACGAGTGTCACTAAGCTTTTTCAACACGTAAAACTGTCCTCTTTTTTTCTTCGATAATTTCTCGATCAAAATTTGGTATCGCTCTGTACTTGCTGTGAAAAACGTGTATAAATCCTGCATGAAATCAAAGAATTGAACAGCCGAGGGACAAGAATTAGCCGCTGCTTTTCCTACTAAATTGAGAGAATGACCACAACATGGTACAAATGCCGATAAATGATTTTTCTCCAGAATAAGAGCCTGCATCCCTCTATATTTTCCACTCATATTTGCAGCATTGTCGTATGATTTGCCGCGGCAATCCATGATGTCTATTTGATGGTCACCTAAAAATTTGAGTAGAGCATTTGCTGTGGCTTCGCCAGTATGACCGCAGTTTGGTAAAAAGGTGAGGAATCTTTCTTTTGGCGTCGATCCTTCCATGTATCGAACAACTATGGTTAGTTGATCGATGTGAGATTCGTCGGGAGTAGAGTCCACTGATACAGAATAATATTTGGATTTTTTTATCCTGGATACTATTTCAGTAAGTACTTTATCACCCATACATCTGATCAGTTCTTCGCAAATCGTAGACGAAAGGTAATTGACATGACCACTCCCTTTGTTAGCATGCTCTTTTAAGTGGGTGGCCAGGGTAGGTTCATACTCGGCTAGCAATTCCAAAATTCCCAGGAAATTTCCATTTCTTGGTGAGCCAACAATTTCATTGTCACCTCGGAAGGCTAATCCGCGTTCAGCAATGAATTTGATAGTACTAACGATAATTCTGAGGATTTTTCGCCAATACTCGATTTGTTGTAGTTCTTGCATCGCTAGCTCTTGATCGATGCGTCCTGTGACTTTTCCCCGTTGCACTAAACTCATTACTGATTCCAAATGAGTCTTCGAAATCTCATGATCATATAGACGATCGGATGCGTGCTTCCAGTCATTGAAGCCTTCTCTACTGAGTTTGTTGTTTTGAGTGGACATTAATTTACATGGATAACAATATATTTTTCCAGTAGATGGAGAAAAGCAAAGCCAGAATCGATTGACGGTCTCTTGATTTTTATTGCGGCGTGTAAACATGTTCTTTGTACATTTCCGAACAAAGTTAGAACTATCTCGCGGCTCATCTTGATAAACTAGAACTGGATTTTGCATAGACAATTTATCGCAATTTTGAAGTTCTGCCGAACCTTTTTTCGCCCAATATTCGATCATTTCTTTTGTTATATTAGCAGGCCAAAGACCTATGTCATTTTTGAGACCACAAAATTTTGCTTCATCTTGGAGTTGATATTCAGTTTTAGAAATCTGTGTGTTGCCACCTGATGAAACCTCAGCCTCAGGATGATCTTGGATACTGTCGACCACGTCTCCATCTTCTGTTGAATCTCCTACTATTTTTTTAGGATCTTGAGGGATTTCTTCTTTATTTGATGACTTAAAAAATTTGGTCAGTTTGGATGTTTTAGCTAAAGTTTCTTCAGATTTCTTGTTACGTTCTGCTTGCAATTTCCTCTTCTGAGAGCCACTAGCAAAAACTCGAGGAGTTTTGTGGCGATCACTCATGATTCCACTATAAAGTAATCTCGCGTACTAGTTGTAACTTGTAGGTATAATTATGTACACCACTCTACCACTGTGTCTGTGTGTTGGAAAGTTGTACTGTGATAGGCGTAAGTGTACGAGAGCCGCAGTATAAAAAATTAAATATAATATTATTAGTCTAATAATTATGATAATAATAATAATCAATGCTGGGCAGTGGGCAAGTTAACGATTTTTTTTAACTCGTTAAGTTAAGTTATTTTAAAATAATAAAGTTAAGTTAAATTAAAAGTTAATCATATTATTTTCGTTTACTCGTTAAGTTAAAAGGTAACTTTGAAAAAAAAAGTAACTTAACTT